TTCAATTGAACTTCGGAAAATGCCATTCTGATGAGATAATCTCAACCTCCCCACTATTCTGCTGATTGCATAACATGGTCTGCCATTTATTTGGAAATGACTTCCAGAGATTTACAAATCTCATGACAATGGGAGAGGAAGCCGAACCAAGCCCCTATACTAAGTACTATTGTTGAAAATGACCTGGGCTGATTTCCCAAGACCGTTCGATAAATTTCAAAGCACTGAGTGTTATAGATGACACAGAATCTGTATAAATATCCTTCAGGTCACGACGTGGAGACTAAGACTCACTGTTGTTCATTGTCGTTTGTGACGGTTTGAGGTCCAGGGTTCCGCAAATTACTATGGATTTAAGATCAAACTTTTAAAACGCTTATGAAACCAGGAAGTACAGTTCCGTCTGATATAGTCTTTTCTTTTACCCACAACTAGGTTAGAGTAACACAAGAGATTAAAAAGTCAGGGACTAATGGGTTTCTACACAATGAAGGTCTTCCATTTAGACTAACTGACGATTTGAAGTATGCCGACTGGAGTATTTGTTCAGGAGTCTTACCATTTATCCTTCAAGAGCATACCAGGCTCATTAAAAGGTGTCACAGTAAGTGACTTACATAACCCCCAGCTTTCCATTCCTTAAACTACATCTATTTATCACTTAGTCGTAGGGATTTCTCAGTTTATCCGATCATTCAGATACAGGTTAAGTGAGCGATCACCATTATATTGAAAAGCCGTTACCAAATATTAGGGTTGAATTTTACGCAGTAGTTAATCGATGTACTAGTATACAAGAGGATATAGTGTAGTTACCTCCAACCTTGCAAACACATCTGCGCTTTCCTGTAAATTTTGTTGGGTCAAATCCTGACGAGTCAGTTTGTATCTTTGTGCCTGTTTTTTGATGTACATGATTACATTCCATTACGTGGCATAATTCGTCGGGGTTGGAAGAACTATCCGACTACTGTTAGTTGGTTCGAATAAGATTGATGAATAAATCATATTACATGGTGTTTGAGTCACAGTAACTTAGATGCTGTTCGATAGCCTATATTTGGCCACAAATATGAGGAAGAGAAAGAGAGAGAGAGGAAATCCCAATTCTGTTCTGATGGTTTAAAAATATATGTCATTACGAGATACAATAAGCAGATAACATGTAGTAAAATGAAATAGATGATTACATTACATGACCTCATGCATTCAAACTGCGTTCCAACCAGAGAAAATCCGTCTGTATGTATGCATGCTAATGTCCATCGTCTACCTTGATGAAAGATTGCGTCGACTGACAGAGTGTTACAGCAGTCATGCGTCAGTGAAAAAAAGTATGACTTTGAAACTTGATTTTCTTAACGAACTGAATTTTTACACGGGTGGTGTCAGTGTTTCTTTCGATGCTCCCACGTAGAACCAAATAACTGAGACGCAGTAAGTTTCTACATCTCTTGCAAAATACGATGAAGTTACATCAACGTAAGGTGGAACTTAGCTCAACAATCTCGCTCTCGTATAGTTTGTTCTACATGTTAAACTCATTCTAATTAACCTCTCACTATCTGTTCAAGAGACTTACATCTTCTTTCAAGAATTTCGGGGCTTTAAAATGTAATCAAACATGTGAGTAAACGATTTAAGCTTCTACTGGAAGAAGACTTAAGTAATAAACGTACAAGTAATAAACAGAACATAGTTGCTACGGAATACTGACAAATATGCCGCAGTATCTTTGAAGGTTATATTTTTTGTTATTTCATCTGGTTAGTTCAAGTATTGGTTGCTACTTTTTCGATAAAATGAAGTAGAATGAGATTAAATGCAGTCGTCTTTAATTGGCCGAAGTTATACCTTCTATTTAAATGATGGCTTCGTTAAGTAGTTCATACCCTAAGCACAAACGGTGTGTATGAAACTGTTAGACTTTGCCAAATCACCACACTTGAGAAGACACACTACTGATGGACCAAAGCGATCATTGGATGAACTGACCCATCTTACTCAATATCCATTCATATATTCGCTTCCACCGGAAGATTTATGTTTTAACCATCATGAAGATTCTAGAAAGTGTAATATTGAAGTCATTTCTTTGTACAATTAGTGTCTAGTTTCTTTCTTTCGGACGTTCTCCAAAAGTTCAACAATATAATATATAGCTTCAAGGGTTGTGCGGTTAGCATCCACTGTCGCCAATACTCTTCACTTAACTTATTTTAATAGTTCAAACTATTTAAAGGAATTAGCTAAATCCGCCAAACTTTTATAGATTTCTCCTTCAAAAACTGAACTCGGGAGAGTAAAATAATTCCTAGATATTTTGCGTCACAATGTATGTATTCTATCGGTTGTAAATATGAACTTTGAACATTCGGTATCTTTTCCATTTCTTCATCTAGGATATAGATGTTGGGATTCTTTCCTCACTAGATCAAACAGGATTTAACAGGCTTAGTATACGCTTCCTCCGTAGCACCAATTCACGGTCTGTGACTTAGGGTAATCAACACACCAGTTCGTGACCGATTAATGCAATCGTTATATACCCCATAAATTTTACAGAGAATGGAAGGACACTCTACTCTCAATCTTCGGAAATGACGATATGTAAAATTTAATTTGTCACGGACCAGCTGCACTATTTTCGACGTTGTATGTAACTTAGAGTCAAGCTAATGACCGAGCAAGAAAATGTATGGACAAAAATAACTTTCATGAAGCTCTGCATGAACTTAGGAAGGGCAGGTCACGGGCCATCAATATTCTACTAGCGTTTTAGAATCGGACAACCACTTAGGACTAAAAGAAACCGGTTCGTGAGTTATTTCTCGAAACATTATCGTACGCACTCCTTACAACGGAGGCCAAGAAGTTGAGTTCTATTGATCTACTAGTTTAGAAATAACCTACAGAACGCGATTATTTGTACCGTGGTAAAAAAGTGCACACGACTCAGAAATCTTGATACCAGGAGTTTTACAAATATCTGTTACAATTCATCTTCTCTTCTTAATCTTCTTCAACAAAAATAACTCACTGACCTTCACGCACACTGTTAATGATAAGATATGTAAGTTCATAAGAAGCGAAAAGGATTTATTTGAGCCTCAAGAAGACCGAATATGGAAACGCGTAGTGAAAAATGAGTTGAAATTCAGCTAGTCAACATGTCATGTTATGTACACTCGACCCACAGAACGCAAACAATGTATGTTTCCTGCAAAAATCTCCTCTCACTTGTTTCCTCAGGGAGCGATCTAGAATTATAATCACTGGGAATGAGGCGAAAGTGAATGTGACCTTTCTCTTTATACAAAGATATCTTGGTCTATTGATCCGAGATTCATTTCTAATACTGTCAAATGTACATGAGGTCTGTCCTTGAATTCAGGTGGCTAGACTGACGTTTATTAGACATCGTCAAAGGATTCGAACTTAACCGAAATAAGAGGAAGATGGATGAAAGAAATCAGCCAGTTTATTTAAGCATGTCAAAGGACATTCCTTACCTTGAAGTTAACAATGTCGTTCCTATTCTTCTCTTCATAAGAAATATAAATATATAGGACAAAGTACAGAAAAACCTCGCAAGAAAAGTTTCTGGCACCTGGGACTATTCTTGCTAAGCTAAAGGGGAATAAGAGGTGATCTAATAATGGCATACAATAGTACGCGGAGCCACCCCAAAGCAAGCGCAATGTCAACACATCATCACCACACTCCTCAAGGCAGCCCTTGGAAGATCGCACATCAAACTGTGAGCACTGAGGCACTCTCCAACTTTTATCAGTTGTAGCTTCCCCGCATCGGAATGCTCTTCTGTCCGCAGTGACCACAGCCCCATCGGTGGATAGTTTGAATAGGAGACTTGACAATCACATGCACACTTGAAGATTATCATTACCCTCTTGCGTCGGCTTTATCAGAATGATGCTCCACAGACTATCACGGTTACCATTGAGGCATAACATGTAACTAATTCCTATCTCTCTCATTACTATCTCTGTTAGCCTCTTATACTTTCAATTTCGTCCTCTAGCACATTATCAATTAAACGAATTAATTATTTATTCAGGAAGCAATAATCTCTTATCACTCGAATTATCGCTTCATTATATTCCCATTGAAAATAAGTAATCTGCCACCTTTTGATGTGGTAGCTGCTGGTATCCAGAAACCCTACTGCCCTGAGAAAATCCACAAATAACTAACATACTGACTAGGATTAATACAGTGGCTAGATTACCATCCATTGGACCCAACCAAGTACCTAGAACAGTAATGAAACAACAGAAGGCAGGCGCAAAGAAATCAATGTTTGCGCAAGCTCGTGATAAAGATATTGGATATTGGACTCTATAATCACCATGCCAAATTTTAGTACTTATATAATTGTCAAGGTCATAGTATGAATATCGATGCTCTCTGTAAAGTTTACTCCAAAAAGTATAATTCTTCAATTAGCTTTTCAAACAATGAAGTGATGTTCAGCAATACTGATGGAACCTCATGTAGGTGCGTCTCCAGTTAATCATTACATTTAAAATCGAAACCACTGTTTCAATCACAATTATGGGGTTCTTTTTTGCTTAAAAATAAATTCAAAACAGGTTTTTAGAAATACTGGATGCGGAAACAACAAACGTGCAACTGTTCGAAAAACACCTTAGGCCTCTTGTTAAAGCATTTCTTGCTGGTTACAATGCTTGTATAATGTGTTATGGTGAGATCAAGTCTGAAATTCATATGCTTTTAAATGGATTCCGAGCTGATAGGTGTGGCATTTTGAATCTGACGGTTACGGAAATACTTCGGAGCATATCTCATGGTAATAATATTTTCATTCACTTCTCACATTTGTAAGGTGACATCAGCTTAGATTCCTTGAAAGATGTCTTATCATTTCACTCTTTTGTCCTTCAAAATGACGGATTTTTGGACTTGCTGAGCGAGTCGGGCTCTAAAGGTGATAATCTGCGGGTGGCTTTTACGATTAACGAAGGATACCGACTTGAAGTAATCAGTTTGTAAATAATCTTACGAACAAACTCACAAGCCGATTAAAGAGACTCGTATAGGTTCATTTAGTGAAGCTATGAATGTTTGCGAACAAGCATCGCGAAACTACTTTGGTGGAGTTAGCAAAATCAATCAGGAATCAAACCAAGAACCAGGAGTTTTCATTTTTCGAGTCAAATTTAACGTATATTCATATTGTTCACTTTTTTAAATTAACAGGGAGCAAGTCTGGATGAAAGACGAACATTTAGGAGTAAATTTACCATAGTGTGTTGCACTGGCTTTGAGAAAATTTACCCGTCTATGAAGAATGAGATCGAGTTTGGGAATCATACGTCACTGAATCTATTATCACTGTATAACCTCTCTTTCCAATTGGCATCTGGCAAGCCGGGTATTCGTAAGCTTCCGAACTACAGGTAACTGTTAATTGAAAATATTTTTGGCCTCTTTATACCATTTTGTACGTTGGCTTTCAAACATTCTGCTACACTGCATGCATATTATTTTGAATTCATTTCGGTTTACTGAAAGTGGGTACTTTTGTATGCTTAGCGTCGTAAAATTCACAATTAGTTACCTTCGAATCTCTTCTTTAACACATAAAGACTAACGCGTTTATGTGGATACAGCTGATCAAAGTCCTGTTGAAAATTAAAAGCTAGAGCCTAATAAGTCGTTATTTTGTAGATCAAGGGCCAGCTATTTAAAACGACATTGTAATTATGTGGAAAACACATTGCGTATGGCAACTCCTCTAGTTTTTTACTAACTTTAATTGGCATGAAAGCATACTTAAACGAGACCTAATATTGTCAAGACTTTTTCAAAAACTTGACACCGTCTAAACATAGACTTTAGAATAAATAGAACTGTTTCTGCTACTATATTTTCCTATCAGCAACAAAATAACTAAGCAGAACTCATTCAGATTTTGGCAAAAATATTAAAATTGTCATCACGACATGTAGTATGGATTCATAATCTACCATAAACCAACTAGAATTCATGGAGTAAACCAAGTTATTTTGCATCATGAAAAACATAATCAGTTGTTCCTTCACCAATCAATAACGGTTTGTTAATAATAAAAATAGAAATTAATGATTAGGCACTTTTTGATTTCTTTCAGATATGAGTAAAATCAATTTCTAATAGGACTAAAATTCTACCTGTACATTACTTACTCAGATGCTTTTGAAACTAGCACTGAACAATAGGGAAAAGCTTTTTGTGATTAAATATACCTTCAATAGTTTATAGTCAAGCATGTAGTGTGGCGTCGAGTCACGGTTGACTATGGTCACCACTACAGAAAGACTACGCGCCAGTTAACCGATAAGATCCCTCGTAGGCCAAATATCACAAGGCAGTTGGTGTATTTGTTGGCGATTTCGTGGTATCGAAAGAATGCCGAGATCGTGTCAGGTTACAAGTGTGATTACTGAGCTTAACCAAATTCGTGCAAGGTCACAAGCAACGGAAGAATGTATGTATGTTTGTACAATTAAATAAACAAATGCGATAAAACAATCCCTGGTACAGTTGGTTACAATAATAGTTGTTTCCATTACATCAATCGCGTTCTCCTGATAAAAGTAGGTCACTACAAGCATATGAAAATATTCATAAAATATTTTTGATTGTTAAATAAACATAAAGACTCACTCAAGGTGAATGAATCTATCTTGCCCAAGGTTAACTGAAAATTAGATAAAGCTGAAGAGACTAATCAATTACTGGTGATAGCCGACTTTTTCATGATTTAAATGGTACAAAATTTAACTCGTCCGTTCTGGAAAGTTTTATCAATGAGGTTTAGGCTACTACATAAGAATTAGCTTGTAACTTTTTACGAGACAAAGGCGTTTTCTCATAAAATGCCGCATTTAGTATTAGCTATCTCAGAACAAACAGACAGCCGGGTATAGTCTTCGCTAGATAAAGGACACAGATTTTCATTCGAAAACGTCTAAACTATTTCCAGCTTTTATTCAAAATACAATATTTCGATTTTTGTATACTGAGGTAGTGTATTAAGGTTGATAATAACAGGACAAATATTCAAATAGCGAACAAAATTTACAGGTTGCAATGATAATGTTGAGTTTGTTTGGTATGTAGCTCACGAAAAATAAATGAAAACATGCAGGAAGTAAGCTGACCTTGTTTTATTCAATTTTTTGACAAGGATAAAAGTTAATCATTTTTCTGAAAAATGCATGGTACTCGTTTTTTAAGGCTGTACAAGATTAAATTAAACCTGATTGAATCTTGATTCAGAGTTTAGAAAGTTGATGAACTAACTACTAAATTATAGTTCTATATTTTCATGCGACAAACAAGCATAATTTTAGTAAATTCAAGAAATCTGTGGGATTCTACGCGATCACAGTTATTTTGTGTTTTGTTTTGCACTATTTACAGTGTCTCAAACTTAACAAAATTACTGTATGATGAAATTGGTGGGAATTGTTACACTAGAGTCATCCTTTGTTTATCAGCTAATCCTGAGCCAGAGATATATTCTCTTTTGTTGAGATTTACTGCACAACTTACAAATATTACAAATTCACCGGTCATGAATGATGAATGTGCCTTGCTGTTGGCTGAAAGAGCAAGAGAAACTCAAAGTATACTGGAACAAGTTATTAATGAACAAAAAACTGGGACTACTTTGAACACTGTCAATAATCTACAGAATACAGATTCATCTTTGGTACACTTTGGGAGTGTATTAAAATTGTTTTGTTGTAATTATTCATTAATTAACTGGTGAAATTGGTGTTTACTTAATGAGTTAGGAAAAATTTTAACCTGCTATTAGAATTCTTAAATGGAAAGGTAGATTACTTGATCTCTCGTTGTGTTATATAAAAGAGAAGAACCACAGCAACTACATCACTTTTGATTGTTTGTTGATACTGGTTACAAGTGAGGTGTTCCAGTCAATCAACGAAATAATGCAATCTTATGAGATGACTTCATTATCAATTATTTCGGTGCACAAGTCTAACAGAATAGTTTATCTTGATTACTCAAACCACAAACTTTAGAAACGCTATCTTCCATTAAAGAGCATCACATAATTGATAGCAATCCCTATACGTCTATGTATAATCTCATTCGCTATCAACTAATGTATTTAAAGGTGAAGATTAATCTAATAACCTAAAATTTTTAATTTACAAACTTATAATGAGTCTTGTTTGGAGGATATATGACTTAATTGCTTTCAGTCAGTCAGTCAGTCAGCTACAACATAGTACCAGGCACATATGTGCATCGGTCCAGGTTGCCATACCGCATCAGCACAACAAGATGAACACCGGATTCATAGCAGTGATTAGGTCAAAGGTGGTAATATATAAAAGGAAGATTGCATATAAGGATATAGTACAAGAAGAATAAATTGGTTCGTAGAAAGAAAGAAATGAAGCGATTTTAATCTCTTAGTTTAAGGGAAGACAGAAAGTGTATACACCTACTCCACAGCGATCGATTCTGAGCCATGTCACCAAGAGTCTCCAACCATTGGTTACGACAGTCACACGGACCTCAACCAAGTAGTCTGCATCTCCCAACATGGCTCAGAATAGAAGTTAATGTCTTCACGCACTGATGCCATGTTTTGGTTTGGCCACCCCTAATTTTCTTCCAACCATCCCGAACACCGGTTAGCATTGCACGTCGTGGTAATCGGTGTTCAGGCATACGTAACACGTGGCCCAACCGTCTCAGTCGATAAAGACTCACAACCTCATCAACTGATTTACCATCATCATTCCCTAATACTGTGAGTCTAACCTCACTATTACTTACCCGGTGATCCCAGCAGACGCCTGCAATATTTCTAAGGCATATGTGGTCAAATACTAGTAGCTTTAGTAGCCTTTCTGTTAAATTTGGGCGATAAATCGACGTGTGATATGTGTGGTAACTATCTTCTTGGTTATTCGCATTAAACTCTACGGATTAACTATGAGATGGGTGTATATCAGGTTCTGAGAGATGTGGTCTAACCATTGTTAGTATGATAAAAATTTATAGATTGTATAATGAAACGCTGACTTTTTTTGTGATTTTTCTAACAATTCCGGTCTACATTGGAGATTGGTTATCACCTAATAACATTTATCATTGGTTAATTAGAACAGACAAACGAAACTGATAGTTTCAAGTAGGTAGATTATCAAGATGGTGTAACTTTTGCTATATTTGTAAACTACTATTGAAATATAAGTAGTTAGATTATTTTTAAACAAGTATCCCACCTTGTGTACTTAATGTTAGTCGTTGTTTTATAGCTAAAACTAAGAGAACATATTCAAGAACTGTCTCAAAGTCTTGGAAAAACTCATGAGGAATTATCACATGCTACAGATGAACGGGTGAAGTTATCTAAAGCATGGCTTTTAAGTGAAGAAGATAGAATTGATGCCAATGAAAAATTAGCAAAGACAGAATTAGAATTACAAGAAGTTACTTTAAAAGTATGTAAAGATATTACATTTTTTAAGTAAACGATTCCTTATGGAAAGTTGTGTAACAATATGTAACAATATCTATTTATGATAAGCAACTAAACTGTCCGACGTTTTGGAAGTATTTCATGTTCACGGTAAATATCCTGGAATGTTCTCGAATCAAGAAGCAATGATAACGTTTATTGTGAGATACAATAAAACATATGCATATCAGAATAGTTTTTTTCTCCTATGTGATTTATTGTTTCCCTGATTCATTTTTTCACTGATTGTTTTAATCCTCTCATCGGCGTTTGAAGCGAACAGTACTGGATTCGAGTCTCGGAGTGAACATCAACTCTGGGATGCAGGTGTATTCGGCTGGCGAGTCCGAAATTGGACGAAACGCGCATTTCAGATTCTACTGCTAGTCATCGTACATCTCTGCTTATAACTGTTCCTTCAATTCTAGTCTCATATTTATCGTCGTAAGATAAACATGGCTGAATGGAATCCATAGTTAGAGAACAATACATCCAGTTCTTTTACTGATTAATGTGTAGGTGTTAAGTATAGACAATTCAATTTAGAGAGTGAATTCATTCGGAATTCAGATGGATCTTGGTAGACGAATTTCCAAATTTTTATCACACTTAACGTGATTATTTTTGTGTGAAATTGAACCTAAATTATATCGTTCAGTTAGTCAAGGGTTCTTATCGAGATATAAGACTATTTAAAATGGTCACCTGGAAAGCAGGAACTTAGTAGCTAAATGTAGTAAATTATATGTGATTGTGAAAATTCAGTTGAGAGAATACATTATTTCAATATGAAAAACCAGAAACAGGTGTTTTGATGACTGTATTTTTATTGGCTTTGATTAAGATCGTGCGATTACAAATAACAGGTTGTATTTTCTTCTCAGCGAATACACATATACTGACAATATATTCAAAAAGCCATTCAACTGATGAAAACACACAATCGAAGGGTGTCGCTCTTTTGGAATCAACTAGAACTACGCAGGCAAATGAACAACTCAAATTAAATTGATGCTTCAATGAGTGTGTGACATTTTTTAATATAGGGTGGGGTAGTGGGCAAGAATGACTGTCAATGATTAAAACGAGATATTAAAATAAATGAAACTAGTGTTTAATGATTTGAATGTCATCTAGTATTAAAACGGTTTCTGATTTAAGGGTTTAAGATTGAATAATTAAATGCTCTAAAATCTAGAGTCATCTAGTTTATGCCAATCTGAAGACATCATTCATGGTATACTCAACTTCAAATATGATTCTTTTCCTGTTTACTATTTTCCCCCAAAGTTCTCAGCCGTTGTGTACTGCGTAAATTTTTCATGCACATGTCAATTTATCTCGCGACATTTTGCCATTCTAAAACAGTGCAATACCTAGAAATTGTAAATCTTTTTCCATTCAGTTAGTGATTGAGTAATACATATATAAGCATTAATTTCACTGAGGATTACTCTTTTACGATCACACCACTATGCCTCATTTCAAATTGCCTCATGAAAATCAAAACATATAAAATAAAAATTAGAGTTCTAAAGGAAACCTCTTACACGTAGCATTCACCAACGAAATTTACGATAATCTGTTTGAAAATGCTCGATACTGCACACATGTTGAACGATGAAAAGCGGATACACAGTATTTTTGTTTTCTTGCCAAATCGATTGTATGTATTTATTACACTGCTAGTTACCATGCATTTCTGCTTATAACTGTTCCTTCAATTCTATATCATATTGATAAGATATAGTGATATGAATCTACCACTTACATAAAGTATAAAGTTTAGAGCATTCGTAAGCTGGTTATAACCTGTTCCTTTTTATCATTGATTTCTATCTTTCATAACAAAATAGACAAATTACAGAGAATACGAAACTTTTTTTAAAACGTGAAGTCATGCTAAAAACTGATATTTTTCTTATTTGTTCCCACCACAAACTGAAATGAATGGAAAATATAGACATAAATTGACCCTTGTTTCATCTTTTAAAAAATCCTTCAGTCAGTAACTTAATTATATGCAAGATATAATCTGATACATAGGTACATCTGTAGTGAGATAAGTACGACCAAACTACTGAAATGAAATTTAAATGAGCAAACAACTTCTATTTTAATGGTCTTTAAAATGTTCCCTAGTTATAATTAAAAAAAAGAAACAAGTAAATTTAGTTCTGACATTTTCAGCAATAATCATAATAAATAATTAGTAGTTATGTTACTGAAAATCCTTCGAAATATATTCAGCATATTGGATTATATCTAGTTTTCAGACGATTTGTTTTATTTATTTATTATATCTTCAATGCGCCAATTCAAAGAACAACCAACCATCCCTATATACATACATACATGAAGTATACACGAAGTATAATTACACTTAACATTTGGAAATTAAACGCATTCAATGTTTATGGAAGGGCAAAACAGGAGCTACGTGACTAATTATGCCATTAATGAAGATGTTTTATTTAAGGAGAAATACGATATAGTATTAAATTATTGAAACGGAATATCACGTGTTGTAGTGAATAAATCATTATGAAAAAAGACTGATTTTTATAAAATGTATTTTAAAAAAAACATTTAATTAGGTTATTGTGTATTGTACAAACATTTAACAACTGGCAATATAAACAGATCTATTATCATGCTGTTGACAATTAGAGTGTTTTAGACATACTAAGCTAAATAAGTCATTAGGTGAATAACTTGTGGTCTGAATAATCTAACACATTATTAAATTTTAATAGTTGAGATCATGAGTCAATTACAGCCGTTTCGTCCTATTGCGGGACTCCACAGGAGTGCATATCCACGATACTGCCTCGCGAGATTCGAACCCAGGTTTTCCATGGTGGTTTAACTTCAATTGACTCATGATCTTTACTATTAAAATTACTAAAATATCCACAAAAACCCCTTCTGATACATTATTAAATGTTGAAACAGAGTTCTTTTTCTATGATTGGTTGAAATTTCAGGTCGTAAACTATGTTGAATATTCAATCCACTAACACATCAGATTACCACAGTTTCTATTAGTGACTAATTGTTCATATCTGTCTCAAAGCATATACATCTTCCAATTGTGATGATTGATCGTTGTTAAATTAGAACAAAATTGTAACTAATCAATCTCTGAGTAGTGAACAATTTTATATTTGTGTTCCTTTAGTTTTATCCGAAATTTACTGGGCATGATGTAATGTGGCCACTAGTCAAGTAACGCGACATCATGTGCTCAGTGTTAGAATATTAAGTTGTTTGAGGTAGACAATAGGAAGCCGTGATTGATCTAGATTTTGTGCTGGTTGTCACTCGTCAGCAAGACGTGCCTATGATATTGAAGGGACTGATAGTAGTTGGTGGATTCGCACATGGTCACCGAACTTCACATTGTGAGACTTTATCATTGGGCTATTCTGCCCGCGATGAATCTACTGTAGAACTGGTATATCTATAATCAATTGTTCACTGAGTACTAATCAATGTAATGTTATGTTAGACAGCGAAGGTGATTGAAACAGTTCTGAACCCCATAGGGAATAACAGTAAACTCAAGATTACAGATGTGAGTTGCTAATGATTCCCAACTACCTCAATACTTAGGTGAAGGAGGTTTTCTTGTCAACTATTCCCAATAGCCTGAAATCTCAGAATAAAAGTGGCAACAAAGTGTTATACTGATTGTATACATGTTTAGAGAATTCACATATATTTCATAACTTGTGAGATTAAAAAACCCATTTTGTCTTCATATTTTTATCAAGCTTTTATTTAACATTATGGAAGGAAGGTGGCAAATATTGTAACCTTTTTATGCTGTGTTCTGGCAATTATATATCTATTATTTCAGTCAGGCAATAGGTTAACTAATTACCAGATAAATCCAACTTCAGCATATTCACATAGTTTGAACCACGAAGTGACCATAGGTAAACCACGTTCAAAGCATTGGATGTCTGTAACATCGTATCATGGAACTGCTTAGCAGTACACACCCCTAATATTTCATCCGGTGGCCGAAATCAGAACCTTCAGTCCTAGTCTCTGGACTACTGAGTTGGTATCCAGCAGTGTTGATATCTAATTTCAATCGACTCACGAGATTGTGCAACCCTTATCTATTAACCACGGCGCATGACTGTCTCACATGTAATGTGGCTGGACTCAAATATTTAAGGGTTCTCACTAGAACTCTAAAAGTTGTGATCTAAACTATGAAAATCCTATAATATCCACAAATTCCCGTAAGTTAATAATAATCATATCATTTATGGTATCAGTTGATATTTGACGTCGTAGATAACCCCAACTTTGTTTTTAAGCAGAATGTCACTAATAATTGTGTTAACGTTTTAATTCAGAGATGGATCAAAATACAAACTTACTCATATAGTGACTGCATTATGATCGAAATCAAATCAATGTTTTCTAATATTTTGACCCAGTGCCCAATTGATTCAGACACACGACTTAAATATTATCTGCTTTCGTATGTAAAACATGGAATTATTTGTGTTTTTTACGCACTATTAAATGTTATGCTTTATTTTATTATTTATAGAATAAACAACTTCAACGGATATGTGAGAAAGCGACAGAAGCTGCAAAACATTCAGTAGAATTGCAAAGATCTAATGATGTGCTAAACAATTATTGTACAGAATTAAAAAAGAAGCTAGGTGATTTACATGAAGAATTAAATAGAATGGTAAGATGAATATAATCGTTTTCATCACATAATTCTGTATATGAGTAGTAGATTTCTGATAACGCAGAATTTAAGAGAGAGAGAGAGAGATGAATTATCATTTAATCGGTGCTCGATAACGGTGTATTAACTTGTATTTCCAAGTATTTTCCCTGTCATTTATTGGGTAAGGGCTCGAAAAATGACCATGATTTTCACTGGGGATTTCAAACATCTAAATCTATCTAAATTATCTTCTATCAGTACGCCACAGTAGTGCATCCCAATTTGTCCGATAAAAATAGGAAATAAAGTGAAAGTTAGAGTTTGAAATGAAATTCTCAGTGAAAATTATGCTTTGACATTCAGCAATCAACTGCTAAATCGGTAGAAAAATGTTCGAAAATTCTTGATCGCACACAAATAGTGAACATTGAAAACAAGTACGATTCTAATTGATGGACACTTACCTTATGTCCTTTAAGACAACGGTGTTGTGTGTTAATATCATAAGATTAGAACTTGTATTAGTCGGTTTTTTATACTAAATTCGATACAATATATATTTAAAACACAAATTTTGACTGTCATATATCTTTTGTTTCTGTCTACCCAGTACCAGTAAACAAAATAACTCGAAAAAATATCATCTTCATACATGTGCCCATTTTTAGTCTGTATCTGGGAAAGTATGTATTTATTTTGATTAACAGTATCGTGCTATTTTTAAGTGAACAGTACATTTTAATGAGACATGAAACTCCTTTTTAAATGATAAGAGCTAATCAGACATTATCACAGTCTCGTTTTTTATAAAGACAACAATTATCAGATCATTAATCATAATAAATTATTAAAATGTTACCAAAACATTTAGCACTAAAAATGGATCACAGCATTACAGTCATTCATTTATAATATAATTTATCTCCAAGGTCCCCTAGTGATTACTTTCAATCATTCAATACAGGATGGTATGCACGTAATATCAACCCATGTACACTAGTGATCGTATTGCAACTTGATTGATAAAAATCATTATGCACTGCGAAGTGAACTACAATGATTATCGACCAGTAATCAATGAGTGTAAATATCTCAGTCCTGTATGAGAGTAGCCACGATCAGAATAGTTTATTGGGAAAATCTGAAAGTTAAGTGCGTGATCTTCTGTCGACTGCCTCCAAATATCTAAAGTTCGAAGGATAGGTATCTGTTTTCTCTATCGGCTTTCTAAATATAATTTGTAGGTATTTTATACCAGTGACCAATTGTAGAAAACTACAGCAGTGCACATCCATAACCTCATCGGGGGTTGAACCACATACCTTTACATCTCGTGACCATCCCATTGTCTTCCGAACTTTCAGTTGTCATTCAAGTGTTTGTATTTATTAATTTAATCAGTTTGTAATGTTGCGCGACCATAAATTCATTATAATTGGTGAATAACTGCCTCACTACCAACATAACTGAATTCTACCGGCCACAGTTTTTCACTAATGAATATTCACCAACGACGAGACCTTTATCTATTTCATTTGATACTTAATAGGCTTGTCAATAAGCGCTACAACTATTCAGTGTTTGTTGATTTCCAATATCATATCTAACTAACATCAATCTGTAAAATGAAATCATGACTTCAACAATTTTCACAATCTCCCACTACTACGAATCTACTTGATCAGAAGCTTGGTCAACAGTTAATTTCTTGGTGTAAGTTTAAAAAAGAAACTAATGAAATTCATCAAACTTGAAGTTTTAAAATAGAAAGAGATCTAACACTGTAGTCTGATCAGTTCTTTTTAAGTTTCGTTATGTTTCATTATGTAACATTATGAAAAGGAAATGTAGAAATTTCGAAAGAAAATATTTGGGTTAAACTCACCAAATTGTAATTATAATCAACAGTTACATTTTAAATTAATACTTATAGTACTTTAAAATAGCTAAACTTATATAGGGCAATTAGTCCCTGTGATAAATTTCGATAGTTTAATCAGAAGACGAAGATTATCAGAACTATGCGATGATATATTTGCGCAATGTATTTCGAATATTCTGATCACACAGATAGTTGAAACAGGTCATAAGATTGATCTTAACTTGGCTTTTGTAGTGTTCATCAAAATTGCAAAGAGGGCGTATAATAAGCTTTAACCATACAAAAATTCAAACCCCCTTTGTATAATAAAAAAAACAGTTTGTGCTCACCTTAAACCTACCCTGGTAATATTACAGTGATGTGCTTACAAATTGTTTTCACATTATTTCTTTACTATCCTTGTCTCCTCTTGCCTCATTCCCAATCTAGTTGATCATTTATTTTTATATATAAATGTTCTTAACAAATATTTAATGTGTGATCAGATTGTTCGAAATATATTGCGCTAATATATCCTCACATAGTTCTGATAATCTTCGTCTTATTAAACTTATATAATTGTCCATAGTTGAAGAGAAACCAATGAAATACAAATAATTCATTATATTCAGTGATCAGCATCATACTTGTTTTATTTAAATTTGAGAACAGAATAATTGGCGTAAACGTTGTTGTTGTAAGTTTAGTCTGTAAATTCAAAATTTAGAATGTTAACAACATCTATTAGGTTTATTCAGGTTAACTTATATAACTACGAATAATATTGTTACTGTGTTACGTTGATGAATACTATGGACTGTTACAAATACTTTTCTATAGGACTAGAAAATAACGTTAGATAATTAATTGATTAAGAATGGAAAAAGATATGAAATTTACCAGAAATAAATTGTTGAATCAATCAGTCTATAATATCAATTAATGATCGTGTGTTGTTCCAGTTCCGGAGTTCAACTATAAATTGTTTTTGATAAGAATTTAAATGAATTATCCAAAATGATAAGCATTTTCATATCAATAAGTTAAATTACTTTAGAACTTACTTGATATCTACTGATCCTCCAAACGATACTGATTTTAAAACTCTGTCGTAATTAAATAAGCTAACTTTATTCACGAAGTGCCTTAACCAACTCAACTATTACATACTATGGAAGCTCAATATTTATTTATAGTAAACAGTCTTTAAATATTTAAACAAAGGGAACAAGCTTGAGTGATTGTTCAAATGACCATGTGATTTTAAGTTCACTCAGAAACCAACGTGCAGTGTGTCTACATAAAACAAAATATTTCGCAGTGGAATTAATGAAACCTGTTCGAATTTATTAGTTTTAGAAAGTGTACTACTATTATTACGCCTAATATCAGTCTTTCAATCTTGACATTGTAAAGCGATTGCTACATAACATCACTTATCTGAATATAGAGATTTTACACATGCTAGAGAGTTCCTTTCTGAATCTTACTCTTAGCTATAAAGAGTTTGATAGAAAATTCATCACTATCTACAAAATGCATATTAATAATTGCACCAACTAGTTAGCATAGAATTAAAAGATAACAATAAAGAAGAATTCACAGATGAATTCGTTATTTATTTTGGCATTCCTACTTCATTGAACCATAAATAAAACTACTTATTTGTACGTTTACCTTGTACGAAGTAAACTGAAACAAAATATTATTTATTTACATATTACGCACAATCTTTACCGAAAGAAGTGCTTAACACTGTCAGTTTTGTTAATATATAATGAAAAGAAAGTAATTTATTTATCAGCTTTGAACTTTCTGAGCATCATAAAAAAGTTACTTCCATTTGACTTTTTATATAAAGAAAAATAAAATCATTCGATTCTGGGATTTTCTGATAAAGAAGTTGAAAGTTTTTATCTAAATCCAGATTGGTTTGTACTGAACAATCTATTTCAGCTATTTAAATCATATTTCATGTACATAAGATCTGAAAAAAAGTTTTTGATTACAAAATCAGTGGTAAATTTCGAAATGATAATGAATATCAGAAAAACACTGAACTTCAGTGAAATTTGTTAAGATTAACAATTAATTATTACTCACAATTGATTGATCACTGGGCGGTGATCAATGTCATGTATGTCAAGTTCTTCTTAGTACAGATCGAATGCTATCGGCCAAGTTGCAGTGTGCCTAGTAGTCTGGGTGACTCGACATTGCGTGCACTATGTTGGTCGATAGCATTCGATCTGTACTAAGAAGGATTTGACACACATGATATTGATCACCACCCAGCGATCAGTCAATTGTGATTACAAATCAGTCCCACAGGAGGTCGGTTGTGACCCAGATAGCCCAGTGGTAACGTCTCTGACTGTGAGGCTGGGTGACACGGGATCGAGTCCGTCATGGAGCATCAGATCCCTCAAGATCACAGGTACACCTTGCTGACGAGTGCCTAGTAGCACGAAACCCGGGTCCAGGGTTTCCTGTTAACTGCCTCCAACCATCATCGTAATTAATTATTACTGTAATATCTAATTTACGTTAAAAAACATTTATACAAAATAATTTATTAGAAATTAATCAGAATTTGTACTAAAAGATGTAAATAAACTATGAATTTGAATGATTTATTATCCTGGAATTTGTGAAAACTAGTCATCCATTCAACTAATATATTTGTTATATTGTTGTGTTTGTTTTGTGTTGTCATGGAAATTGTGTTCTTTCAAATTTATCAACTGATCGTTGGTAGTGATATTAAGGGTTGTAAGTAATTAATAAAATGATTTGGATATTGTTACTATGTTTTATGTCGATTGCGTGCAAACTTCACACCCATCACAGGAATCAAATGTTCATACCTGTTAGGAAGAGGTGAATGTGTATCTCAGCTAGTAACCTCATCCTATGCTTTGATTCCCTAGGAACATTTATACAATCAGTGATACAGAAGACCAAGCATATTTGCCGATTATTGTTCGGGTACAGTTTAGATGGAGTGATTCACAAGAATTTCGAACCTTGTATTCCTAAAATATCTCTACTCCTAATCAGTTTGGAAGCCACACTTTTCTACATTAGAGCCACATACTAACACTGTCAAATAACATTCATACAGTATCTAACTGAAACGATATATAAAGAAACA